TGGGCAAACTTTCATTGCCAAACAACAATTTTTTAACAACCCGCATTTCAAACTCGATAACCTAGTCTGAGTCATGTGATGTATATAAGGACCAGTATAAGTGAACTACTACATAATATGGAGTAGTTGTTCTAAATGATATATCATTAAATTGAAAATGTTATAATAATATAAAAATAAATGTTGACTTAATTATTTAACTATTTTTATTAGCGTTATCTATTTAAGACGTGTTTTCTGATACAGGAAATATGAAAAAATAGATCCCTTTTAGAAATTAAAAAATAACATCTTACTTGGTAGCAATATAAATATTTTCTTATAATTTTTCATTCAAACTTGTGGATTTGATTTGTTTAGATAAAAATTTTTATTGAAAAAGAAAAAATTCTACTTCCTTATATAACAACAAAATATAAAATCGTATAAAAATGATTTTAAAGATATTCTTTAAAAAACATTAAGTGATTTATGGATTGCCCTGCTTTTTTAATCTACACATAGTATGAATTTAATTTTAGTTTTTTGCATTAAAAATATCATTAATCTACGAAGAATGAATACGTTATAAATAATATGATAAAAGTAAACTATCCACAAAGAAAAAACTTCAAAGTTCTAATCAAAAACGAAATTGATTCTATAGTTGTTTAAACTAAAAAAAAAATAAATTTTTAAATGTGTACACGAATAGTTGAAAATCATATTATTTAAAATGTTAATTCAGCGGAAAAATCTGTGTTGTTGTGTCTTTATTCAGATTACATTTTGTTAACGATAAAAAATAATAATTTTGAACTAATATAATTTAGTTAAATGTAAATTGTTCAAATTGTTATAGTCAAATAAATGTAAAAAGTTCAAGAATAAAATTATACGAGGTTATGGTTCTTTAGAAACTAAGTTAGTTAGAGAATCTATCAATGTATGTAATAAAGCACTGATCGAAATTGTGTACTTTTGATCAAACATTCAATTGGTATTATTATTTCACTCTCGGTAATATCTCGTGTGGAACTTTAAAGATAAACAACGTGACGTTTTTTTCTTACTATTTATTGTTTGCCGTGAAAATACAAGAAGTTATGTCGTCCTTTGCCGTTTCATCTCTCACGAGTCCCAACGGGTGTGTTCTCTTAGTTTTCTTTTAGCGCTCGAAAATCTTTACCGCTATATCTACTTATCACTATTTAAGGCGTTATATACATTTCCCACCGGAAACATGACTTATTGGTATTTACGAGTCGAGATTTACACTGTAATAGCGCTGCTCATAAAAAAACTCATCAGACGGTGCTAATAAGACTAACAGCGTGTGGATATTTTGGACAAGAATAGGGTACGAAGCACATAAGTTCCGCGATATTTGTATGCAGTAGAATTATATCTCTTACTCGGTCTGCTTTTAAAATCCATTCGGTATTATTATTTTCTCGCGGAAAGAAAGTTTATGGACCGCGGTGGTGTTGTAAGACGAATCGACGAAGATGAATATTCATTCCGCGTTTAGGTTTACTCGCCTCCTTTGCACACTCTTCCTACAGGAACATTAATTTAAATAAAACATTCATTAACGGACTTAAGTAACCGTTTTCACGTTGACGATAATTCCGAACAATATTGCAAGGTAACCAATCTCTGCGCAAAACGCACCACCTAATCTGGAACTCATCACAATATAATAATTACAATTCCACAGAAAACGTTTATTTATTTATTTCCCCGGAGGCATTTTTCTCAATCGTGACGCAGATACCCAAACTGTGCGTAGTCTAGTTTTGTATGATGTCATAGTTTTTTCTAAGTTTCAATGCGCTCAACATTCCCACGTGCTCCATTAACACGTTTATTATATATTACTGTATTTTTGGTTAATTAAATTGTTCATTTATCTAATAAACTTCCGTACATATATAATTGTGAAATGTGTATCGCGTATTGATATCAATATTGTAAAAGTCCTGAAAGGTAATAACCAAACGTTATTGTCAATAATGATTTTTATTTGTATGACAGGTTAATTAGTTATTTCAGTATTTGTCTTTACCCTATTGTCGTCTATAGGTTTCAATAAATATTTATATTGTTTGCTGTGGGGTTTTCAATTATCGACGTCTGTACAAATAAATGGCCAAACGCCATTCCGACTAATATTTAGTAGTGTTCCACAGGTGACTTATCGTTTTTGTATACCGAAACAACAACATCCGGTCGTTCATTAATAAATAGTTATGAATAAAGCGTTATTTTCAATTTACGTTCGGAAGAGTTTTTTATTACTGAGGGATTTTTTGTCATTCTTGATGTGTGTTTATCGCTATAGGTATATTCAAAGCGCATACGTCGAGCAAACTTTTTCTACAGCAATGGTAATCGCCGCTTTTCCAACGCAAACTTTTCCTAATAGTGATCCCATTTTCACCAACAACATTTTTTGCATAAAATGAATTTTATATGGGAAAACTTTTTAAGGCCTAGTCTATGATGTAACTTATACAGTACGGTCACCAAATTTATACAAACTAAGTATAAATATATAAATAAAACTTATTCCAGAATTCATATAAATCATGTGAATTTATATCTGCAAACATAATATTTTTTAAATAAATAATAATTTTTTTGTGCTACAGAATGAATAATATGAGTATTTTATTTTGTTGGTTGTATATAGTTTTATTTTTATACACAGTGCTCGAATATTACTCGGTAAAATTCATTGCTATAAAACTTAAATTAACCAAATTTTATTTTAAGGAGTATAGATTTATTTTTTGGAGTATTATAATTCGTTCGTGTAATTTATTTAAAATTTTTATATTTTCATGGAAAATTTATTATAAAAATATAATTGGTTGGATAATTGAGTTAAACGAACCTCTTGTTTGTGTGTCTAACGGTATTTGTTGATTATTACTAGCTGGTGTGCTCAGACCGGTTTAAGGGAAGCAAGTGTTTGTAGTTTATAAATCTTTGGAGCCTTTTCAAATGAAATAAAGACATTTTTCTCATCATTTGAAAATGTGGTTAGTGATAAACGAAAAGTGAATTGTAATGGGACTCCTGAAAATATCCATTTCGGGACCTTAACGTAATGAGACTAAAATGTGTTTATTTTGTTATTTTAGTTCAAATTATTACAATAATTACTAAGTAAACAGAATTTGTTACCGATATACATGTCTGTATAAAAAACATTTGACGGTTTGTTTATTGTAGAATGTAATATTTGGTATTAATATGCAAGACTAATACGATATCGTCAATTAGTATATGTTTAGATTTGGCCAGTTAAATATCTCTAATGTTAGTTTTATATATTTTACAGATTTCATTAATTAATTTTTGAGAAAAAATATTTTGTGTTTCTTAACAATACTTGTGAATATTTTATTAGTGTTGTTGTAGACTGATACGACAAATATGGTATTGGATATTTATCCGCCCCAAGTTTAACAATCCGTCTCAAGTTGTCCCATTTGACAGTTTCTTTGTTTAATTTATAATTTAGCTAAATGTAAACTTTTAACGCAGTCTTTAAAATTGCATAATCGTTTTTGTTATTATTGATTTTTGATCATCTAGTTATATGCACATAATAAATCGCCATTCTTAATTCATCCATTCGCATATTACAAAACTTTCCTATTACGTGCCTGTTTTAATTTAAACTTTCTTTACCGAAATAGAACTAGAATAGAGCAAAATCCATATGGATGAGATATTGTCGAGTAATATATTATATACATTGTGCGATATATGTATACATGAATGTATGGCTTTCAAGTTTATCAAATTTGTTGTTATGTGTGGCTACATATTATTGAGGCCCTGGAGTAGTTGAAATGATAGTTGGCGGTAACGTTAAGTAAAGGTAACTCGTAAAACAAACTTTTAACGCAACGCTGCCGTGTTTAATGGTCTTGTTCAATTTTATCTAGGAATATAATAATAATGATAATATTAAAAGGGTACCGATTACGAAACTTTAAGTACCTAATAAAATTAAAGTAAGAATGATGTGGTTTTTTTGGATTTTAACAATAAATGCTATTATATTCAATTTTAAAGCTGACGAAGTTACAGATATATATTAACCTTAGTTAAAATTAATGTACTCATAGGACTTTTAAAAATTTGTCATATTTTCGCGAGTAATAAGTATTCTCGATCTTTGATCATTTTTTGCATTCAATTATCCAGTGAGGGTTGTGGAATAGGTTATAATTGAATTGATATTTTATTGTATGCATGTTAGAAAGAATCAACTGGTGAATTTGTCGACACAAATTGCATGCCATTCGCATAGATAAGTGAATTAGATAAGACCTTTGACAAGAAAAATCAAGTGGCCAAAATATGAATCTATTTTAGTGACGTAGGTAGAAAATGTTTTCTTGATTAATTCCAAACTATTATATATAAACTCTGTATTTTTATTATTAAAAATACATGTATTATGTTTATCATTTTACAAATGTCTAGTGTCTTATAGAGCGTTACAATCTTGTTTAGTTTTTTTATTTATTTTAGTAGAAATCACATACTCTCTACGTGAATTATAAAAAAACTTTGAAATTATCACTAAAGAATTTCAGTAAAAAAAAAATGTTGGTAGATTGACTGAATTTGTTTGCCGCCATTTATACTCAATACTAAGAATTAATAAATTCGTATAGTTAAATAACATTTGCTTACCTTTTTGTGTTTTCGGATCTTGCGAAAGTCGTTGGAAAGTCTCCGTGGCGTCTTTGGCGTCTTTTGTCGGACGGATAAGAACCTTCGTCGAGTATTCTGTCCGGGCGGCGTCGCGTTCCCGAATGCCGCGCGGCTTCATAGGCAATACCTGTGGCAGTTGTACGGTTTTTGCCAATTGGCTGTGACCGCGGTGGGCGGCAGTGGTCAGGGGATGGTGAGGTACGGCCGCACGCGCGTATTGCCTTGGGGCGTGCGCCGCCTCTATCGCTGCCGCCGCCGCCGATCAGTTAGTGTATGTTTACCACCGGCGCCCGTTCGTTACACGACAACCGTTTCGTTTTTCATTTTGTTATCATCGCGAAGTGTTTTTTTTTCTACATTTTTCGCATTAGTTAATTTGTGTTTAAGACAAACATATAAAAATCTCTAATCTGACGCAGTGTTTTGTTTAATCCTACAATGTGGTGGTGTTCGGTACACATCACATCAGCCCTTACCTTAAGTATCCTCTGTACATCCATAGTTCAACGGAAATCTTACGTTCGATGATATCGAACGTTGTTAATGTGTTAGTTCAATTAGTAAACACTGTAAAATATATTTCTTGATAATGAAACATAGATACCGTTTGATTGCCTATGATTAGACATATGGAAATCGAATATGATATAGGCAGTTAAACGTATAGGCCAACAGGCTAGATGAAATATATAGGAAATGTGTGAAAAATTGCTATAGCTTCTACGTGTATGGTTTGGCGTGGGTTAACAACTCTTTGCTACATGATGTCTTAATTGTTATGTTTTACAGGCGGACAATGTACTCTTGGCAAACACTGATCACCATAGTGTTAGCCTATTCGGCTGTCTGCGCGTTCGCATCTGGTAAGTACATTAAGTTTTTGCAGGTATAAAACTAAATAAAAACAGTGATTATGTGTTTCCTTTCTCTTAGAGAGAATTAATGGTTAATTACGGGTAATTGTTTTTTATTTCAATCAGCAGGTGTATACATTCTCGCTGCCGTAAATAAGTGTATAATTTTTCTCGGTGCTTGTCCAATGGACAGAAAGATGAAAATCATAAAAATGTCTGTACTTGTATAAAAAGTTGTTGGATATATTTCTGGGTTATGGGTTTCAACTTTTTAATAAATGATCGCATGCCACAAAAATCCATCAAACAATAGGGTTATAATTATAACTAGTCGGTGGCTCTCAATCCGGCTGATAATTAAAATATACCTTATATATATATATATAATATATATATATATATATTAAATGATTAATTATAAAGGTTTGCTTTATGATTCAGGCGAATGTTACACATTGTATTAATTATGTCCTCCAAATTGAGTATTGTTCAAATATTTTTGTTGAACTCAGATTCTGAAGCATTAGAGATGTGTTGTTGAAACACTAGGAAAATTATCGGTAGAAATTTACTGTAATATTATATTTTAATTTTTTTTTTTATAGTCAAGTAGTTGTGTAATTAACGTTAAAAAAAATCGAGTGAATGTTTTTCTAATCGCTAATATTAAGTATAACTATTTTTTTATTTAGTGTGTTGATTATTGTTTAACACGTTTTTATGGACAATTATTAATATCGGCAGTCTATTAACTGGATCGTTATGATGTTATGATAATAAACATCAACGCCGGTTATTATTCTTATTATTTGTATGTACATTAATTAACGTCTGTGTAAATCATTGAAAATTAAAGGAAAACAGCTTTCTTTAGTAACTATTGTTTCGAGCGGATTAATGAGTATCGAGAGATGACAATAATGCCAGAGGGTTTTGTCTTTGCGAAGGTATATTTATGTGTGTTCTTGAGGAATGATGAGAAATGCAAACACGCGTGTAGATCAAAAGGAGGAGTAATTTGCGTTTCTCATGCATACATATTATATTTCACATGCGATTTCAGTGAAACCTGTGAAATTGAACAGGTTAGAACAATGAAACGCATAAGTAATCGTATCGTATAATTGGCGGTCTCGATTGCTCTAATAAAAAATTTATTAATTTCATTTATTATTATTTGCGAGGAATAGTAGTGATTATTGACAATCTACAACAATCTACTAAATGATTGTACTTTTTACTGTTCTACTATGAAAATCGGCCGATGAAAGTTATGAAAATATTTTTGTATTAATGACGTTCGCTAAGATAGTATTTTACTTTTTTTAACTTTTGAAAAATTCACGATAAAAACTTCAGTGAATGAACCCGTATGGAACTCGTATGTCACGGACTATTAATTGAGGCATTTTTCACATGCGCTAATAATGATTGATTGACAGCCGGATTTGTTTTGTTACTTTTTCGTCGGTTCAGCGTAGGGTGGCGGATCAAACAGTCTAGGCTACAGAAATGAATAAACTTTTAAAACATTATTCATAAAACATCGGAGGAGGAAATTCCACATGAATTCCCCTAATAACCTGTATAATATTTTCGCAGTCATTGATAATAATTGTATTGGTGGAATTCATTTTCAGTAACGGCGTCAGCGGTTTATTATAACAACTTTATTTCTTGTATTAACTTCATTGAATTAAAATTACCGTTCGAGAATTCGCGTAATCTTGTCCTATCTGGCAATTGTGTTTTACTAAGACTTGCCCGTAATTCTCGTTCTCAAAGGGTGTCGTTTAGAAAAATAAATTAACTCATAGTCGGTGTAATTTAAATGTTAATCGATACATTTTTTAACCGAGTTCTCCACTCTTAATGTTTAGGCATTTGAAAGAAGAATACATTTAAGTGTTATGCATTTTGTCGCTGCCTTGATTTTTATGAGCTTTTGTGGGCGGTAGCAATAAAGGTAAAGGAAAAAAAAGAGAATAAGAAATATAAATAAAATTACCGAAGAGAAATTCAATTAAAACACGATGCCGCAATTAAGCAATCTCGTTTGCGAGTCGTCCAACAATATTGTTTTCTGTATAGTGTCGTCTTTCTCGTAGTCACCATTGATGTCTTTTCTTCCATCATTATATAGACCGTTAATTTGTATGAATAAAGTGATTTTTTTTTTTTTTTGAGTACCCACGAAAAAATTAAATTTATAAGTACATCGTTTTTTAAAATTGTTTTGTCAAACAAAGAGGTCTAAAAGCATTTTTTACTATCATTCGGATTTTGCATTGAACGAACACAATGTGTTTTTTCGTTTATTCTCCCTTCTGATTCTTACCGTGTTCGAACATTTCGTGTTATTGTCATTGCGTTTGAACTAGGTTTTTCGGAGAAAAGTTTGTTTTTTCTTTTGGTGGAGACAAGAATTTAATTTTATGTATTATGTACTGCCAGTGTTAATATTCAAATTGACATTTCATCTTGGTAAGTGAGTATATAAAATATTTTAAACTTCTTTCATAACTCCCGGCATCATCAATATACTTGTAGATACTTTTAATTAAAAAAAACTTTCTATTTGGCAAAACGTATCGTCACTTGTTGTTGAAATATTTTTTTTAATACGCAAAACGACGAATGGCCCTTGGAACTGGGTGAGAGAGACGCCTTAATTTTTCTCGGCTAAAAGTATTTTAGTGACCCGATCATCGTCTGTAATGCTTTATGTTAAAAGTGTTTTTCGTTCAAAATAATTCGCAACTAACATTACTTTGAACTTATACCCACTACACTGTCAGTTAGCGTCTTTATATCATAAAAAAAAACCGCTGGGTTAACCGTTGGACAGGTTCTTCAGTGTACTTACAAAATTACCGTATAATATGAATTTAATCTCCGACGGTTTGTTTTTTTAAGTTTTTATCTCGGTTATGTTTAAGTAAAGTGCAGTAAGTACTTTTAAAGAGTTTAAACGTGCAGCTAATCTGTCATTTATGTCCGCCGGTTTAAATCAATATTACAATATGACTCTTATCAACGTGTTACTTATTTTTATTTAGTATATTTATGTACCTTAGAGGTAGTCTATCACAAGTTGACTGTTTAAAGTAAGGTATTGCTATTTTTCAATCGTTCATCGAGTAAGTATAAACAATAACTTATCAAGTTGTTTGATGTAATGGACTTGTGATGATTTGCCTCTATCGTACAGATTATAATACGCTTAATTTCGTCTAAATAATGATAAATTGGCAACACGTAATTTTTAATATGACATATAGATGATTTCTACAGATCCTGGACATGTATTGCGCATGCCATCAGAAAGTAATTTAAATATAGTTTCATAATTTATAATTGAATTGTATTTTACGTATTACGCCGAGCCAATAAAAATCAAAGCGTACCACTGACATCAGTGTTATTTCGAATAACAGTTACAGAGCTAATAAAAGTCGATGTATTTTTTATCCATTCAGATAAGTAAAATATTTCTCGATTGTTAAAAGGCTTTTTAATTTAAAGTCAACTGGTCGAACAAAATGGAGACAAGAAGAAAGACGAATTCAATTGTTCTGGAATAGAGCAGCATAATGGCCGTTTGTTGCGCTATAGTTGAACTGGACCAGAAATCGTTTGGTATAAAATAGGGTAATAAATAAAGTTTAGTCTTTATGACCATAGAAAACATTTAACTCGCTATAGTAGTTGCTGGAAGAGGATTGAGGTTTGAAAGACTTGTGCGTGTGGACTGTTGAAACGAGTTGTAGTGGTAGTATTTTTTTTATTCGATGGTTTGAAAACATTGCGCAATTATTGAACGGCGTTTTCGATAGGCAATACGTGTACGTCTATGAATTAATTTTTCTGCCTATTCAGGTTTTTCATTCCGTTCGTGCAGTGAAAATAAACTTGTGCGATTTGTTATTTGGATTTACTACGAGAACACGTTAGTGAAATCTAGTTTTTTAGCAACTCGTTCAATGGTCGAGTTAACGTGCTGGTTGTTTTCGACACACGTGGTCGTCCTTTCAACTAGTACCTAGACGATTGGTTGGGTCGTAGGCGGCGGATTGCCAATTTCAACTCGGACCCCCTTTAATTTCAAATACCGTCGTCTAGTGTAGGCGAAAAAAAAAACGAGTTTATCAATTTCATAGTCGGTAGTGGGCAGTAATAATGTATGAACCTTCCGTGATACAATAAACGGCGAGGCGGCGGATCGGACCATAGAAAAAACAACGGACAATTTTTGGCTTTTCACCAACGAGCCGTAACGCTGCGGACACTGTAAGGGAATATCGCCTGGGGTAAACGTTCCTTTTATTATGTTTCCCGGTTGTGTTGTTTTTTCTTCTTCCTTTCCCTCGGGCTCTTAACGTACATAATTCATGTGTCGGTGTATCGCTTCGGCCCCAAACTCGCCGCCGAATTGGCGTTTGCCCTTTCCTCCCTATACGTCGGGTTCGCGCTTTTCGAAACGAAATCCCATAATCTCTTCGTGTGCACCCGCGTATGTGTACGAACTACACGGATATCGGTATTTATTTAGGCCAGTCTGTATCCGCGCGGTGATCGTTGTGTTGTTCTATTTACTGCGCCGGCCGTTTCGCCCTTCCCGCCTCATTTCCCCGCGAATTACATTTAGATTGACCTCGGGCAATAGTTGTAGACAAGTATGCAATATTGATGGTTCACGCTAAATAAATTAATGTGTTACTTTTTCTGATCAAAGTTCTACGTTGTTGACCCGGGTTCGTGTTTGCGTTCAAGAAGCAAAATCAACGCTTGTTTTTGTTCAACAGAAACAAAATAATTCCATATCCGGACCGCTGTAAAGATAATAATTGGAATAGGCCACGAAAATACCGAGAAATGATAGACTTCGTGTAGTTTATTTGTATCGTATATGCGTCGTGCGCACCAATAACAAATACAAGCAGACACCGCTAACCGAGTAATCGGGTTAATTTCCGCAACTTGGTATCTCGGTTCCGGTGTAGATAAAA